TTTTAGTAGTATGCTAGATTAGGGTTTGCAAGCTTTGGATGAATTGCATGTACAATAGAGAAACCTAGATCCAAATCTTTAGGGTTTTGCATGTGCACATAGGATGTTCTTTTGCTCAAAACCCATGAAAACTCTCATCCCATCAATCCAAAACACAGATCTGATGTCCAAGGGTGGACAAATCACGTAAAGTTTCTAACTTTACGTCCATGCATGCGTGAAATCCTCTCCAAGGTCCATTTTAGTCTTTATTGTGGGCATAATGCATGAATGGAACATGGAGGCCATTAAAGTTTGCAACTTTAATCCTCTAGAGGTCTTATAGAGGCCAGATCTACACTCCTAACCTTTGGAGACCTCTTATCTTGAGAGATCTAACCCAAAGTCCCAAAACAAGCCCTAAACTACCAAAAGGTGAGATCTAATACACTACATGTCAAGGTTATGGCTTTATACCTTCAAAATGCCGCCCTTGATGTAGAGTTTCTGGATCCAAGATTGCTACTTCTCTCTTCAAGGCTTCCTTCAAGAATCACACCACAACACTCAAAACTTCAATGAACAAGAGGGGCAGGCGGTTCTAGGGTTTCTCTGAGTAAGGAGGCTGGTAAGGAGGCCAGCCCTAATGGTTAAGTTCTTTAAATAGGGTACGAAACCCGGAAAATTAGGGTTTTCCTTTACAGCGTCTACTCGTCGAGTTGGGGCCTTCCAACTCGTCGAGTAGACCCTAAGTCTTGAATCCAAAATAATTTCTAATAGACGAGTTGGTGCTCCCAAACCCGTCGAGTTCCAGTCTAAAACCCTAAAATCTTAATAAGTAAATGATACCTGAAACGAGCGTTACACATTGATTCAAGCACTTTCTTGGTGATCTCCGTAGTCACCTTAGTGCAAGCAGCTATATTTCCTCCTGTATGAGTGAGGTGTTCTTTTAACCTTGTGATCCCTCCACATATTCTTTTGTCACACAAGGTGCACCAAATATTTGCTTTTTTAAGGGATCTTTTTGAACTTCCCATTCCCAAGCCATATCTCTATTTGTGCTAATTGTACTGACATCTGATTTTGTATTAGTAGGAGTGGTGGTGGTGCTCGGATTCACAGAAGCATGTGAAGAATGACCTTCCATATTTTCCAATTTATAATTGGTTACACCTGTTTCACATTAGTTACTAATTAGTGATTTCACAAACATATAAGATAATATGATAAATGCACACAGAGTAAGAATTTACAACCATAACGACATAACTTCAAAACTCACTAATTTATGTTCCTAATGTCTAAATCACAGCTTCACAGTGAGTGATTGATTGCTTCCATGCTCCATAAATTCACAAATTGTATTGATTGCTTCATAATCATAAATTCACATATTAACAAGTTTATAGGTTTGAAGCATTGAAAGAAAATATTTAACATTATAGGATTAAAGGAAACATCACGTTTAACATTTAACATAGACTCACAGTGAGTAATTGAAGCATTTAAAAGTTACATATTCACATAAGGTCAAATAGTAGGACGTATGTGTAAGTGTTTGTAGTGTCTGTGTGATCTAGGAATGAAAGGATTAAAGGAAATATTACATACCTGGTACTGTGGAGTAGAATGTGGAAGTCGATTGAAGGGGGGAGCCGATGTTATGTAGTGTGGAGATCGATTGAAGGAAAGTGCAAAACGATTTCAAGTAGTAGCTTAACTGATCAAGTCTTCACGGTTGATTTAAGGAGTGAAGTCCCAAGCCTTAGCCTCACAGGTGTGGGTCGATTTATAAAAAACAGGAGGGAGTTCGACCATAGGAGTCAAGTCGTCGTGAGTACAAAAAGAGATGAGAAAGAGAGATATCGGTAGTTGCTTTGAACGCATTTAATTAGGTTAATTACTCAGGCATTCTAAAATGGGTAGTGGGCTCATTAAAAACAATATATTAAACATTAAGTTAGTCCATAACCGGTTTTTTCATTGACAAAATGACTAAATGGCCCAAATGTGAACGAAAATACAAAAGCGCCTGTAGCGCCGCTATATTGGTTATGGTTATCGTGGTAAATAGCGGTGAATAGCGGTAAAATGTGTTGCTAATTGCGATGTCGCGATTCAAAAACCCTATGTTGAAAATAACGGTTCTTGACCACTGCGAAACACTATAGCATGTGATTGATATCATAGTATGTTTGTTTAGTTAATGACAATGTGTATAAAAGCATATATCATTTTCCTTAAATCCTTCGATCTCCACTTATCTAAATAGTAGGGTTTTTTTGTCCTATTGTAAAACTTCCAAGAGCGAATTGTGTGCCATGTGCGTGTTTGATCGATCAAGCGAGGGAAATTAGGGATTAAAAAAATGACTTTTCAATTTCAGGTTCCGTTTTCTTTATAACCGATTAAGCAGTTATTCGGATAAACCGGACCGAAATACATGAGAACCAATTAAGGCTAAAATAAATAACCGAGAACCGAACCAAATAGCTTATTCAATCCTAATTCGGTTTGGTTCCGATTCAAGTTCAGGTATTCAGTCCAAACGTTCATCCCTACCGTAGGTCGTAATTTATTATTATAAATACCGAATAGGAAAAAAAATCTCATCTTAGTCTTTTAGGCTGGAGGGAGTGGTGCCACCGAAACCGCACTCCCTCCCCCGCCACATAAGCGTCATGTCATTTTTTACCACACAAGTGTGGTTTCTTGCCACACCAAGGGAGTGGTGCCACACTTTTATTTATTTATTTATTTTTTGTTTTTTTTAACTATTTTAATTTATAAAACTTCTTTTTTTTTTGTTTTTTTTTAAGTATTTTAATTTAATAAAACTTATTTTTTAATAAAAAACATAATTTTTCATTACTTGAAAATTAAAAAAACATTACATTGCATTACCAAAAAAAAAAAAAAAAAAAAGAAACCGAGAACCACACACATGACATTTAAATAATCATAGAAACTTAAAAAACACAAATAAAATAACTAAAACAAACTACATAAAGTCGTTCTCCGAGAACTCGTCTTCGGAGTCATCCGGTGGATCCAAATTAAGGTTAATGTTTTGAACTCTGTAAATGTGTTCCACCAAGTCATTGCGAAGATTGTGAAATGTTTCAGTGCAACGTATATCTGCTCTCCTGTTCATATACTCTTCGCCACCAATTTCTACTGGTTGTGTCTCTGGTATGGTTTCTTCCTCGTCAAACGCACATATCGCTCTTCCTTCGTCTTCAATAATCATGTTATGCAATATGAGACATGTATACATGATTTCTTGAAGTTTTTCCTCGTCTAAATAAGCTACTGGTTTTTTCAATATGAACCACCGTTTCTTCAGAGCTCCAAAAGCACGCTCAACATCCTTCCTAGATCTTTCTTGAGCTCTCTTGAATTTCTTTCGTCTAGAACCATGTGGACACGTAAACGATTTAACAAACACAGCATACTCAGGATAGATTCCATCGACCAGATAATAACCATACTTATATGGCGTTCCACGCACTTCAAAAGAAGAATCTGGTGCGGATCCAGCGTATATGTTGTTAAATATTGGTGAACGATTAAGAACGTTGATGTCGTTAATCGAACCAGGAGAACCAAAAAAAGCATGCCAAATCCACATATCTTGTGATGCAACTGCTTCAAGTATGACCGTTGGGTGACCATAATCACCTCGGGTAAATTGCCCATGATATGATGTAGGGCAATTTTCTCATGCCCAATGGAGACAATCTAAGCTTCCTAGCATTCCAGGAAACCCATGCAAACTAGCATGATGAGCTTGCAATTGCAGGATGTCATTACGTGTAGGCTTACGTAAATATTTTGGACCATAAAATTGAATCACAGTCTTGCAGAAAAAATGGAGACTGTCTCGTGCGATCCTAGCAGACATCCTAAAAGTTTCATCTAACGCATCAGGCGGAATGCCATATGCTAACTGACGAAGTGCGGCCGTGCATTTTTGTAAGGGAGTGAAACCGAGTGTACCTCTAGCATCGTAGTCTTGTTGAAAAAAACTGCACTCCCTCGTTACATCTTCAACTATACGTTTGTATAAACCTTTGAACATTCTGAAGCGCCTACGAAAATAATACCCTTGATAAGTGGCATTCTCTTCAAAATAGTCTTGCACCAAACGTTGGTTGGCTTCTTCACGATTTCTGCAAATATATCTTCGTGTTCTCCGTTGAGAACTTGCAGCTGCGTTGTTGCATAAAGCATCATATGCTTGTTCCGCCATTTGAGCACACGCAACAGCGGTATCAAAAATAGTCTGAAATTCTTCAGAAGATGAAGAAGATGATATTTTTGAGAGAGTGATGATTTTTTTTTAAATTTTGAGAGAGAGAAAAGGTTGTATTGTGGTTAAAAACAAATGAATTGGATATGTATATATAGGAAAGAAAGACAAAAAAAAAAATTTAAATTCGGACGCAAAGGACCGTCAACGGTCAAAAGGTGGAACATCCAATCAGATTGCGCGGTTGTTTCTAGCCGCACTGCGATTTTGGCCGCAGGAAACCGCACCCTGGGGGCGGTGTTCGCGGTCCACGTGGCTGCACTGCGATTTGGAACCGCACCCCACACCGTATAGCCTTACAATGATGAGCAACCAACGAATAAAAAAAGTTAACCATTGTCATTAAAAAAAGTTGATCATTGTAATTAAAAAAACATAGAGTTTCGTCTTTATCAATAATGCTATATTTTATTTCTAATTTAAAAGTATACCCACTCGATAGCATATTCACACGAATCTGATTTCATATGCTACACATGCTTAAAATGCATATTAAAATTGCTCCTTTTCATAAAGTAATTCATAATTCATGAAGTGTGTTTTATCTTAAAGAATAATACTCCTATATGGCTTCATTAAAAATTTCCCGCTTTCCGAAAGTAATTCATAATCCGACGCCCTTATTTCATTCACTTTCCACCTTCCCATATCCCACACATATAATTTGATCTCGATACACAGCCGCCGCGTCTCTCACCAATACCCCATGGCCGTTTCTCTTCTTCAACTGCTTCTATTTCTCTTTCTTATCACCATCAACAATTTATCAGCTACCCAAACAACCCTCTTCCATGGTGGCTTTTTTCTCGATATCACCAAAGATGTACAAACCCAACAATACACCACCCAGTTACTCATCGGTACTCCTCAACTTCCCACCAAGCTCGTGGTTCACCTGTCGGGTCAATCTCTCTGGCTCAACTGTGCACAATCGTCTTCATCTCGACAGTTCGTCCGCCATGGTTCCCTTCCCTGCTTGATGGCAAAATCCGGTGCTCAAACTCCAATACCTCCCAGTCCCACCATCTGTAACGTTCACCAAGAAAACCCCATCACTGGATCCACCAATTTCGGAGATCTAGCCGAGGATAAAGTCACTGTTTTCGACGATATGGGTTCTCCGGCAACCGTTGACCGGTTCCTTTTTCTATGTTCCCCGGAGTATCTACTAAAAAGCCTTGCTACCAGTGCTAAAGGTACGTTAGGCTTCGGAAGATCAAAAATTGCATTTCAATCTCAGGCGTTCAACAATTTTAACATTCCAAGAAAGTTTGTTGTCTGTTTATCTTCATCTAACGGGTTTATAATTTCCGGCATCGATATCTCTAAGTCTCTATCGTACACACCCTTGATCTCAACCCATGGTCATCAGGACGGGTACTATGTGAATGTAAAATCCATCAAAATCAACGGCAGGAAACTGGTCTTACAACCGATCAGAGGTGTCGAAATAAGCACAGTCGTCCCATATACCACCATGAAGAGCCCGATTTATGGGATCTTTACAAAAGCTTATGTTAAGGCTGCTAGTTCAATGAACATGACGATGGTGGCTCCGGTGGCGCCGTTTGGTGTTTGTTTTAGTTCGCAAGCGAAGGTGCCGGAGATTGAACTGGTGTTGCAGAGTGAACTGGTGAAATGGATGATACAACGGAGGAATTCGATGATACAAGTGAGTGACGCAGTAATGTGTTTGGGGTTCCTGGATGGGGGTTTGAATATGAGTGGTTCAGTGGTTTTAGGAGGGTATCAATTGGAGGATCATATTTTGGAGTTCAATGTAGGGACTGGTATGCTAGGGTTCAGTTCTTCGTTGTTGACGAAGGGAAATAGCTGTTCCATGAAAACAGCGTTGGTTTCAACACCCACTGAATCATTATAACGGATATGCGGTTTCATCGTGGGGTGCATTTTTTTGTTTTTTTTTTTTTTTTCTCCTTCTTCTTCTAAGATTCTAAGATTCTGTGTTTGCCTTAGCTTTTGCGGGAGAAAAGTTATTTTTGTAAAAGACTTTTTACAAAAATTGTATTTTAAAATGTGTTTAGATTAACTTTTGAGGGGAAAAAGTCAAAAGTTGAGGGTTATAAAAGTAATTTAATGTTTTAAGTGGTTGAATTAATGAATTGATTAGGGTAGCTGCCTAGCTGGGGGTATAAAGGTAATTTAATGTTTTAAGTGGTTGAAAAGTTAAAAAAGTCACGTTTACGTGACTTTTCAAAAAGACACGATTTCCTCTATTGAAAAAGTTGATTACAAAAGTACTTTTCATTTTACCAAACATCTTTTTGATTTTTAGAAAAAGTAAAAAGTTACTTTAAAAGCTATGCCAAACACATGGAATGAAGATATATTTTCGGTTGCTTTTTTTTTGGAAAAAGAACTTCTCTAATGAGGTTTCTGGTCAGTTTTCGCATACCGACTAATCCCGCTGCGAATATGAGGCCGACTAATCCTCTGCGAATATGATGCTATATCTTATACTTTGGAGTCACTGCAGGAATATAAGGCTATATCTTATGTTCTGTAGTGACTGCACGGAACCTCAAATGTTGTTTTTATGTTAAAAGTACAGCCTATTAATTTTTTGTGGTTTGCAATTTGAGACCCATTTAATACACATGAGATACACATGCATGTCCAATAGATAAGATGTGTGAGAAACCGACCAAGTAAAAAAATATTGGTTTTTTAAGTAATACTATCTCATCTATTTTTAAAACTATTTTTTAATTCGGGCGAAACCACGATCTCAAAACCATTTAGTGTTTTTTTCAAATATACACAGCTCTCACAAAAATTGACCAATCCATAATTCAATCCGAACCCAATTCAAAATTAACAGGTTGAGTTGAAATTTTCAATCCATTTAAATTAAAGAGGTCAACGCATCTAACTCATTTAATTAAATAGGTTGGATTGGGTAAAAGTTACAACTTGTTTTCAACATACCAACCCATTTAATTTCAATATATATTTAATTTAATAACTATTTAAATATTACAATGCATTAATCTAAGTATTAATTTATAAATTATAATATTGTGTTATTATTCAAAAAATGCAATTCAAATCCTATTCTTTTCTTGGCGCTGACAGCACTTGACTATTCTCTAAAATCATTTTGAAATTAATTATTTTTATTGTTATTTGAACATTTATTTGTATTTGTGAATTGGGATTGTGTTTTTGACATACTTTGAAATTTTGTTTAAGTTTTGAACTAATTTAAATGGTGTAAATTTTAGGTAATTTGTTTATATTTTTTAATTTTAAAAGCGTTAACCCAAGTTTAATTTATTTATTTAATAGGTTGGTTGAAGAATATATAAATAGGCTAACCTAATGGCAACTCATTTATCTCAAAGGTTTGATTGGTTGCAAATATCAATCCATTTTAATAAACAGGTTGGGTTGAGTTGAAATCTTCAACCCAATTAATAAATTGGTTGAACCCGAACCCAACCCAAGTCGACCCATTATCTATGTAAAATATAAACTTCTGATTTTTATTTTATTTCATCATAAATTTTAATATATTTAAAATATTTAATTTAAAATATAACAATAAAAAAAACGTTCTTTGTATTAAGTGGTATATATATTTGGATGACTGACATGATTTTTAAAAATTAAATTTACAACAATGGTCCCTTATTTTTCTCCTTTCAGTCATAAGTTATATTTTACTTTTTTTTTAAATTATTTCTAAAAGTAAATGAATATCCGTACCTTGTACAGAATAACTTAATAAATCAAATTTTTGACAAATATATATTTTTAAAAATTACAATATCCTTATTATTTACTTCGAGTTAATTATTTTTATATTAATTTTTCATAAAACATTCTAACTGTTTTGAATATACAATAAAATAAATAAATATTAAAAAATATCATCTCAATAGCTTCTATTTTTAGATTACACTTGAAAATAAAAATAATTTTCTTTTTGATTTATAATTATTTAACTATTAATAGTTAAACATTTTTAATGGACATCTTTTATTATCATATAAATCAAATAATATTTGTTATTTAAATTTTTATTATTAAATAATTAAAAAACTATATTTTTTTGAATTTTTATTATTATAAAAAAAATGTATCAATTTTTTCAATAATTTGACATTTCAATTTAGCTTTTGTATTAACATTATACTAAAAAAATATCATTTTTATAGAAATAGTATTTTGGACATCTTTCTTCTAAACATATTTGAGATTTTTATGTATTTTTTAAATTTAACATCATGTTTTTTGGACATCTTTCTTCTAAAAATATTTGAGATTTTTATTTATTTTTTAAATTTAACATCATATTTAAATTCCAAAATTAAGGGTTTCACATGTACAAATTAAACATATTAGTTTATGTTTTTAATTTAATATTATATTTAAATTTACAAATTAGGAATATTAAGTTGAAAAATGATGAGTTAATATTATATGATTTAATATGCTAATTTAAAAGGAAGTTGAAGAGATACGGATGAATTTAACATTATATTTAAAAAAAATTATATATATAAATTTTGAGTTCTCTTAGGAACAGTACCTCTGGTGAGGTACTGTTCATCGGGTTACCGTCCACGTCCACTGTTCATTGGGTTAAGCTTCTTTTTCCACTTGCTTCTCTCTTTTTCGCTTATCTCGAATCATGTTACTTCCACTGTTTCGTACATTCCTCCATACCACTGTCTTAATCCTCCAAAACTCTTATATGTTTATCAATCGACCATCGCCTCATAGATTCATCTATGTTTCGTGCCCTAGCTGTCGTCGTCGTGCGTCTTAGTTGGAGGAATCCTCTTGTCCATGGTTGGTCGGTCGCAACGCAGTCTCATCATTCGAATGGAACTGCACAAAATTTTCCACCATCTGGCATCTGCTTCTGATATCTTATTTGAATCCGTCATTACAAAACAAATCGGACCACCACCGTCGCACTTTACTGCCATCGATACAACGAAGGGGTTAAAAATGGGAAATTGGAATCGTTTCTGATGAGCATCAAGAATCTTCTCACATATACAGGCAAGTTAACATGCGTATTAATTATATTTGCGTCACTATTTCTTTTTATTTGGGTGTATTGGCTCTTTTCCTATTTTAACAGAGCAAAGGACGATGATGAAATCATTTTGCCCCCAATCTTCAATTGCAGCAACAAGGGAGGTGCCCTAAGCTTCTGCAGGTTACGCTATTCTTCTCAAGTTCTCCATGTTGGTGGTCTGTTTTCCTATTAGTTGTTCAAAATACTACCTATTTGACCTTACTACGTGTATTGTTTGAAAAACTCCATCTTGATTTGTGTTATATTTTTTGGCATGGCTAAGTGGTTTCGTCTTTTACAATCAGATATATATATACTAGAAAACTTTTGAGGCCCGTGCTAAGCATGACCCACGAAAAGTAAATTGTGTGTTTTTTTCACCGTTATATAATGTATATTAGCTAGGTGTATTTTCAGCATAAAATGCTTGAATTAGAAATGAAAATGGAAGTATATTCCTATAATCACAAGTACATTACTATGATTGGTGAACAAATGTAAGTACATTGCTATTTTAGGGTAAGTTCATTGCTATTATATGTTAAAAGTAATGTACAATGCCAATAGTAATATAAAGAGTGAGTATGTCATTCATTGATATTTTCTATTGTTAGTATATTAATGAAAAATATCACATGATAAATTCATGTTTTTTTTGCATTCATCAACACAATTCATAATTAAGTATCTCTGCAGGCATATCACTCGTATACTGATTCACAATTAAAAATAATAATGGAATGTAATATTATGCAGTACGAATAGCTAATAGATAAAATAAAGTACTAAATGACGAAAAACAATATGCATACATTAATTTATTTTGTAATAAACAAACAAATTTGTTAATGACATAAAAACAAAGAACATAATGATATGCATAATGTTTGCTAAACTGGTACTGTCACAAAGTGCCTGGTTAAAATACCATGTGCTATTCAAAGCCAAAAAAGAAACATATCATAATCAAATTCAATAACAAACATACATTTTCAAAGCCAACAATACAATGTGTTGTTCAAACCTACAAACCTACAGTGGTAGGTTATTTGATATTTCAACTGGTGGGTCTAAACTTGTAACTATCCTCCTATTAATTTTTATTTTTCTCCAGCTATGATTTCATTTGAATTGGTTGATTTTACTCCCATGGTATCATGTAAGCTTCATTTTTTGTTGTTAAATAGGACATTCGTATTGCAAATGTTGTTTATTTTCATTTTCTCATTTTAAAATTGCTTCTTATTTGTATTGTTTCTTATATACAAAAGCATCATGAATCATATCTAACTTATCTATTATATCATCACACTTACCACTCATATTTTTTCTATTTATAATAGCTCTTTGTTCTCCTATATTGTTTCTTATCTACATTCTACAACAACAACTAAAGTTTGTGTCATGGAGGCAAGCCCCATCCCTTCAATGATGAAAGTAACATGCAAAAACATACAATAACCAGAAACAAAATTACATGTTATATCAGGAAAGCATAGGAAAATCAACATAAGCAACATGAAAAAAGTTTTACTTTTTCCGTGTCATCAGTAGCTAACCAGTCAGTGAGAGTAATAACTTGAGAAAACTGGATCAAAATCATAACAGGGTGTTAACCGAGCAAATCATATAACGTTTTGGAAATAATAACAATTCAAGCTAAACGAATATCATGTTTCAGTTTTGTGCATAATTCAACAGCTATAACTCTTGTAAACCCAATGAAAATGAAAATAAACCACCGTAGAATGTCATGTTTTCCTTTGGAATTCATAAGCTTCAAATTTGTGTTCATCGACGTATTTGGGACACCATTGTAGTAATAATCG